TCTGTCTGTCTGTCTGTCTGTCTGTCTGTCTGTCTGTCTGTCTGTCTGTCTGTCTATCTATCTATCTATCTTATGTTTGTTCATTTCCTTTGTATTTGCGTGATTGTCCCCTTGCTTGTTCAACTGTCTGCCCATCGGTTATGTTTCTCTGACAGATGTTGTGTGTGGTAAGATAATGAATCATTTTGCGGCTAGATACAATGTGTATCAGGTTTCTCTTTACCAAAACAGAAATATTGTAGAAACATATTAGAAACCAAGACGGCCGAAGGCTACGAGCAGATTGTATATAGGGTATGCAATTACATACTCAGGCATTGATTGATATTACTAGTATGTGGTATCAAGGCACGTCCGCAGATGCAGATATAGAAAGTTCTAACCGTATGAACATTTCACTGTGTTATTCTAGCAGTCACAACTCTGGGTTCAAGCAGTCAAGCTGCGATGGTCAAGCTTGTCCGCCATGTTCATTTCTCGACCACATCGGGAAAGTGGCTCCTGGAAAATTTAGATCTATTATTACTTTATTTATTTTTCTCTTAATTTTAATCCTGTTGTGTAAACCTTTAAAACTCCATCGCTCGACTATCACAAGTCGCCACGTCTACCAATTTGATGCTACATTATTGGTTTTCTTGTTTTCCCCATTCATCATAAATATCTGCTTGCCTGTACTGAAACTGTCCTCAGATATAAAATCTGCATTTTTTTCTGAACATTTTGGTATGTAATGCACGCTTTGCTTGTAGCTTGGAATCTATCTTTTTCATGCTAAAAATGCGTGTGCTTATACATTTCAAACTTAACTTAATGCATCAAATCAAGAATTAAGCTTACGAAGTGTAAGAGTTAATTGACAGGCAGGAAGTTTTTGTCTCTACCCAACGCCCAAGCGTTTGTCACCCAGGTTTGGCGTACCGTGGTGGTGAGCCGAGTCTCCGAAGTGCTCTTCTTCGGCGGGAGATAACTCCTCCATGGCGCGATGCATCTGAGAGTCAAACTCCTGTTTTTCGCCGATTACGTCTTGCGATACATTGTACCTGAGACTCTGGAAAAGTATTTCATCTTTAATTAACTAAAAGAGCAATCAGTAAATACGATTAAAACTCTCACACAAGTGGATAAATAAACAACGAAAAAAGAGAGAGAACACAAACTGCCCCCCCCTCTCTCTCTCTCTCTCT